CGACGCAAAGAAAAACAAAACAAAACAAACAAACACTTAGTTGTGTGTGTGTGAGTGTGTGTGTGTGTGTTCTTTATCGGAGTTTAAGTCTTATAGACGTGGAAGGGTCAGGTGCATCCGACCTCCCCCCCCCCCCCACCCGTGATAGATGGTAACTGGTTTCTGGATAATATTATTATAATTACTACATGAGGGTCAGAGTATCTCGCACTTATTCTGACCCCTTTCAGAGCAATGTCCATGTATGAAATTACAGTAATACTCATGCGAATAAGCATATTTTCTCTTTATTCGTTATTGCGAAAGTTCTACACATTGCGAACAGTTCCATATGTGTATTCACATTTTTTAGTTTTACTTACTCCTTGAGAGCATTACACATAAATGTCATATTAATGCTTGTCATAACAGCTTAAAACTAATGTCGGTTTCTTAGTCTAATGTATAGTGGCCTTATTAAGTGCGTATTTCTGATGTAAGTGTTAATAGGTGAGAGATACTTGGGTCTATTTTCATCATGTATGCAGAATTCACCAGCGTCCTTAGTTCTAGTATATCAGTTCAAATTTAGGGACGGATATGCGCAGATAGCCCTTGTGTAGCTTTGCGTACAATTTCGAAACAAGCTGTTAATTCTTAAAACCAAATAAATTGTTATTCAGTTCTCAATGAAAAAAGAAAAATAACTGAAAATGCTTGTTAAGAGTACTGTACACATATGCGTTTGAGAAATATTAAACACTGGCTTATTATTTGTAATAGTTTGTAAAATCAATTATATTTTTGATAAATAATTATCATTTGTTTGTTTTTAAGAGCAAATATACACCATGGGTTATATGTCCTTTGGCCATAATGGACATCGAAACTCGATTTTTAGAATTATAAGCCCTCATACTTATGGCTGAACTATTGGGGGGGGGGGGGCTGTTAAAACAAAGGAAATATCTAAAGTATTTCCCATTTCTAATTTTTCCTGTATAAAGTCAAAGCGTACTGTTCTTATTATTTTAATGTTATTTATTTCAACTGCCTTAGTGCACAAACAAAATAAACGTATCAATAACATTTTTAGTGTACACAAAATTTTGTCCCTCTTATCTTTTCTATTTTTTATAACAGATGTCGCTGTAGCTTCTGATTTACTAACAACCATTCATTTTCAGTATTCATAAACTATATTAGTTTCAAGATTAATGGATTTAAATACCATTATTAATATACGAAGAAATGATTCTGTGTATTTTATACTGTATACTTATCAATTAGTTACTAATTCATCCCAAATATAATTATCATAATTCCTTAAGCAGAGCTTATAGGATCACTGGTTCCTTTCAATACCTCGAAATAGGCCTACTTCACTTAAAGGATATGATTTCATTTTCTAACACTTGTAACAGTTTATACTAAACACTTTATAACATAAGAACTCCTTAGGCTTTGAACATGACTTAACGAGAATAACCTTATTTACATTTTTGTAAGAGCTTATGCTTAAGTACCAAGTTTGCGCATAAATATTTTTTATATTTGCCTATACTCATCAGAAAGTGATTCGTCTGTTAACTCCTGTGAAATATAAATAGCTCATACAGCATTTGTTTCACTTTAGACATCAACTTCTGTCTGTTTCGATCATCCTAAGTTTTAAGTATATCATAACATACCTTAGAGCCTCTGTTCATGGAAGTTTGACAGTCTATGAACAATATTTAGTTCATAGCAGTTCGATAGTCTACAATTAACATTTAATTCGTCTGTTTATATGTCATAACATACCTTAGAGCCTCTGTTCATGGAAGTTTGACAGTCTATGACCAATATTTAGTTCATGGCAGTTCGAAATTCTACGATTAATATTTAATTCGTCTGTTTATATATCATAACATACCTTAGAGCCTCTGTTCATGGAAGTTTGACAGTCTATGACCAATATTTAGTTCATGGCAGTTCGAAATTCTACGATTAATATTTAATTCGTCTGTTTACAAATAAGCGCTAATGATTACTTACCCTGTTCTTCCAATCGCTACTGTTTATAATATTCTTTGTCTCCTGATGAGACAGCGGCAAGTTTACGAAATTACAACGCTAAAATCCGGTTTTCGATTTCCCACGATGGACACAGCAGATAGCCCAATGTGGCTTTGCTCTTAAACAAACAAACAGATAAGAATCTTAGTAACACCTCATAACTTTTACATAACTTGATTTGAACTGCTTCCAAAATTGAATTATTATAATTTCTATTTCCCAAACATAAAAGAATCTAAACACCATTTTATGTATTAGTTAATTTACTTTTCTAACAAGCTTTCTCACAAGGTTACATACTTTTCACCGAGTTTTTCCATGTGTGTTGTATATATCTAAGTAATTCCACAGGAAATCCATCGTTCGTTATTTTATTTCTATAATGATGGCGTGTAGTAAATCTTCACATAGAAAAATAGAGACCACTTAATAATTGTAGATTCCATTTTACTAAAGTAAGACTTAATAAGAAAATTCAAATTTTGTTAACACAGGCCTATTATTCTACTATGCTTGGTTTAGCAAAGTTACACATTAAACTTTGACAAAAATAGAATGAACTTTGAACTTTTTTTTTGCAAAATTATAAATACACAAATAATGTTAACAGTTGAAATTTAGTCAAAGTTGAAAAATGTAAATTTTGCCATAAAAATTCAAAAATACGTGTTTCGATAATTCGTAAAAAAGTTAGGCTACCCTTATCATTTAGGTTTATATAACGGTATCACATTTTCATAAATTTGATGTGTCCTAAAATTTCCTAACTACTGTATAGAAGATAAACAAAGCGTGTAATTTAAATCGATTCGAATGTGAAACCCCGAAAAATATCGTAATCCACTGAGCAGAAAAGGAGAAGAAATTAATTAAAATTCTGAAGATAATGACCACTCAAGCATATGTTGATATTGATTATTCTGTAAGTATTGTAATACTTCAAAACTATGTAAATTCACAAAAGAGCTGAATTGCGAATAAAGAAGCGTGGTAGCTTGAACACTTATGCAAAGGTTTGTTTTAACGCGAAATTATACACTAGGCTATCTGCGCTCCGTCCACCTCGGGAAATTGCACCCCGGATTATAGCGTTATAAGTCCGTTAACTTAATGCTGACTCACTGAGATACGTTTACAAGAGAAGCTTCCATTATTAATAAAGGAACATTAATTTTCCGAAATCGCTCAAGTTGAGTATTTTAATTGAGGTTATCACAACAAATAAAGCTTTCGTTTATCCCAGATTAGAAATAACGATTACAGGAAGTTGTTAGCGTTATTAATTAATTAGCCACTGTTACTCTAAAATTAATTTTTGGGGTTGGGCACAATCAAAGTCTCACATATCAGCGTACTTGTGTTAACTGACCTCTGGTGCCTAGTTTATGCTGAGTAAATCCAAACTTGAAAATGCTGGAGATAGTGAAAGTTGTTGTTCTGCCTATCATATGTACTTGATTAACAATAATTACGACAGAATAGGTGTCTGTTTAAAAACAAATATTATTATTACTTTCTGTTTTTTATTTTTGTTTGATTTTGTGGCATTTCACAAAACAGCTCCCTCTCTATTTAAAAATTATCCATCGGAAATTCAAAACTTTAGATTGAGTTTGGTTCATATAACTTTTCACTACAAAATTTCAAATGCATTCATGTGAACTTCTAGGGCTAGAAGGGTGTCTGTCTTATGCGTTCGTTGTCTGATGGCATACAGTTCTCATCAATGTGCAGAATCGTGTAGAATATTAGACAGGATTGTTCTGTGTGTGAGTTTGATAATTCGTTGTATTGGCACGTCACTTGTTAGAGGTTCTTTATTTCATTTGATATGTAATGAACTTGATGAAATATGAATTATAGTTCATGCAGTTTGATAATATAAATATCGTCTCAGCCATTATTATTTCTGTTGTATCCAGCTGGCCTGATGAACCCTAAAATTTGCGAGAGGCCTCGTTGGCGCTGGATGTAGCAGCTATAGTGTGATTGACATGTTGTTATACATTGAACTTTACCTTCATAACAGATAGACAGTACTTGCCATATTTGTCATTCTCGAACTGAAGTTGTTGTTTTTTTCATCAACACTTAAACAATAATTAACAAATTTCATCTGAAGAAAGTACAAATGCAATAATATAATATAGTTTTTTTATTTGAAAACGCATATAAGGATTTCGCTATTAAGACAAGCTGAAAACTATGAACTTTAGATGTGAATTTATGTTTAGTTTCTTAATTGAGTTTCTGATATAAGAAAAAATCAACAGAATGAATCTGGCCTCATTTTTTGAAACCGGTATATTTTGTCCTTTTTCACGTTTGATGAATTGTAATTAGATCTTTTACTAACATTTTTGTCAAGAAGTTTGGTAAAGATTTTAGTATATAATGATTATCTTTTACCAGACAACGTTTCCTGAAAAGAATTATTTGGTTCAATGAATAGCTAGATGGATGGTTTAATTATGGCTGAAGACAACTTTGATGGTCTGAAATCCTTTAATGTTATGAAAGTGCAAAAGCGAGAATAATAAATGAAAATTGCAGTAACTTGGAAAGAAACAAAAAACAGTTAAGCGATATGACACGTTTGCATTGATTTCGAGTAAAGACCAACATTTAGCAGACACAAAAGAATCATCATTATGCTAGACTAGGACCATAATAGAAAAGACATGAGTGACGAACATAAAATTACGCTCTGGATAAACAAGTGTTAATTTTGTTTGGAATTAAGCACAAAGCTACACAATGGGCTATCTGTGCTCTGCCCATCCAGTTTCTAGCGTTGTAAACCCGCAGATATACCGCTGTGCCACTGGGGGGCAAGTGAAAAGGGATTACTGATTATTATATAGAAGGTCACTCTTATCGAGCTCTTCATTAATCACATAAACTGATTTTTTTTTCAGCCGAGATCAACGATCTTTTGGCTGAACTAAATCAAACTAATTACCCTGAAGACACGATGTGCAGCAAGATAAGGTTAAAAAAAAGAATGCATGGAATTCAAAGGTTTTCATCACGCTAACGAACAGATAGAACCTTTAAATTTGTAAGAGAGAGACACGTAAATGTTTTATTATTATAGGACTCTCATCCTAAATGTAAAACGAAATTTTATAACATTTAACGATTTAGACAACAAAAT